GGAGTGCGGAACAGCGACGGCAGCGTCCCGCGGGGGACCCCCCGGCCTGCCCTAGCCCTTTATTACTAATTTCTGCCCTCAAACCGCGAGGGCCCGACTCCAGTTCCGATGGCGCTGCCTGCAGAGCCGGTACTCCCGTGCAGAACGGGGAGGGAACACAGCCCAAAATAAACTCCGCAGACTGTCCCAACACGCGATGGATGGAAAAGCAAGTACAGAGCAAGAAACCGCGTGTCTCTGTGCGAGGGGGGGAACCAGAGAGTTTAACGCACTCATGCATCAGATGAAACACCAAAACAGTTAACTTGAGTTACTATTTCTACTTCCACAGTTTGTTTGGTATTAACTTTCTAGGATTTGGTGGTTGTTACAGGGGCTGGTTGTATACAGGGAAATCTGTAAACATGCCCTTCTGACTGAAACCAACCCAGTGTGGCTCTGGGGCCAAGGGGACACGGCTCCTTTGGCTCTCTTGAAAGAGCCATTTCCTATAGGGCAGCTGCCAAATGGTTAAACTGGTATTAGTGGCTGACCACAATTGTTGGTTGGCTCAGAAAAAAGAGCTGTTATTTTAAGGCTGGAGTGGTAAGACTCAGAAACCACCACATGCTGTTATGGGCTGGGCGTAACTGCCACCCTTCTTTTATGATAGCCAGAAGAAACAGTTGCCTTCTTTGAGGAATAGATAGCGAAAAGAAGCCTCCACCCTGGGCTGAGATGCTGACAGGCAGTAAGGTTTACCAGATACTGCCCTGTGGAAGCGCTTATGGCTATAACAATATATAGCTACAGGTTGCTTTTGCTGGCAGAGATCAAAACAAAATGACTGATGAGACATAGAGGAGTGCCAGCCTCCTGCTGACAGATCCAGTGGGAAGGGTGCAGAACTTCACCAATGATTTTAGCCAAAGCCCTGCCTGGATTCCTCCCTTAGGGGACACCTCAGCTGGTCTAGCAAGTGCCCAAATCCAACTGTCATCCATATGCAGAACCACCAAGGCTTATAGAGACTTAACATCGTGTCCTTGGGCTTTCCAAAGCATATACGGTAAAACCAGTATGACTAGCCCCTTGCCCTATTTCTGCCTTCTAAAACCAAAAGCATAAAGCAAGGTGTTCATTCATAAACATTAATGAGGCTACCTGAGGGACTGTATTCTGTAGCATCATCATAAAATAAGACAAGAGATACTATTGCAGGATAATCTCTTTGTAGCTGACAAACATCCCTCACACCTATTTTTAGGGATACTTTAAAGTGTTTTAAACTATAATTAAGGCTTTTTTCTTGGCTCTGAAGTTGCACAATTTTTTGCTCCAAAACACTTTTCTTCCTCAAACCACAATCTCACCCGACAGAGCACACCAAGCTGGGAGGATTACAAAGGCAAGGGGTGACAGGCTTGCTTAAGATCTTACTTAGGGCAGGCACCTGGCAGAAAACGCACAGTCCTGCTAGTCATCTCCAGAGCATCCCTCCCATTTCTCATAGGCCAAGGGAAACACATTCCCTAAAATGCTTGTTCTAGGAAGGCAGGGAAGTTTTGACAGCTGGTCAAGGGGCAAAGGAGATATTTTGGTAGCTGAGAGACAGCTGGGTTGAAGGTTTTGTCCTAGCACTCGCAGCATGGTTTTGAAAGCAACGGAGGACTGAGTAGCAAATGGGTGAACATAACCCCCATAGGGAAAGCTTCTACTCACCCCCAGAACTGCCACTGCTGAAAGAAATTCTCCTGCAGTGCATGTTGCACCTGATCCCCACGACTGAGCACTTTCCTTCCGTGCACCAAGAAAACAGTCTAGAAAGTTGGCTGAGCAAATCCAACCTTCTGCTGCAACCTCTTCCAGGCTGTGCAATCCCACTTCCTCCCACACCCCAGCGCTGGCCTTCACCTGACCCCTCTGGGAGCCAAGGCAGCTCACTAACCGAACAAAAAATAAACAAACAAAGCCTAAAATTCAACCTCCTTTTTTTGTTGGGTTAATTTTCTGATGGATTAGCAGATTGAACCAGCATACTGAGGAGTCAGGCAGGTACCAGAGCCAAGGCAAAGGAGGGTGCAGAAGGTTACAAGCCAGGAGCAGGGACACACTCCTAAGAAGTGTGGATTTGGCAAATTTTAGGGGCTTGCTTTGTTTCAGTATTACAGATTACCATGTATTTATGCTATAGGAAGCTTGAGATGAAAACAAAAACTAGAAGAAATTTTAGGATGCCTGGCTCTTGGCACAGAAGGCATCAAGGTTTGCAACGATGCTCGGAGACCTCCATGCACAGTCTTGTGCCTTCCCTTCAGAAAGTTCTGTCCCCACCATTATTGCTACAGATGGGATTTGTTTTGCAAACACATGCTACGTTTTTAAGCAACTGTCAACTGTACCCTGCATCCCACAGCCAGGACCCAGACCAGGCAATATCTTGAATGTAAGGACCAAGGCATAAAATTTGCTTCAAGGTCCCATAGCAAGCAGGCAGATTCCAATACTTGCAGTAGCATGTTGCCGAGATTGACTGTGAAGCCCTTTCCCAGCTGGAGTCACCAAGCACTGAAGGCCTCTGGCCTGTGTACATCATGTTGGTGCTGTCCAGGAAACAGCAGAGATGCAAACAGCTGTGAGGCCACGTCATTACCTGCCAAGATGGAATGACACCTCCTCTTCAGCCAGAGGTGATAGAACAGGGAGGCTGCTGTGAAAAAATCTGGAGTCACCAGGGAGTCCTCCAACAAATCAATGGATTACATAAATACACTTTAAATTCAGGAAAGTCATCCACGGTTAGAAATGCCACCTTCTGCTCCCTAGAATTGCCTGAGGTCTAGAGTAAGTTCACCTGCTCTGCAGCCAACAGCCAGATTTCATCTTAACACTAGCAACAGCTTGGTGGGGTCGGCCTTCTCACAGCTCTGTCCTGCTCCGGTTGTGTCAGATGGCTAGAAAAACAAGGCCCACCATGTGTTTAAGCTGTTCAGAAATCGGAAGCACAGAAGAGGACCAGAGCGATAACTTTTCTTTGTGGAACACAGTACGACAGGTGTAGTAAGGAAACTGCACCCTCACCACTGCTGATCAGCTCCACAGCTCATCCAGCCAGTCTCGCAGTGTACCTTGAACATCTTGTTCCCATCAGTGAGACCATGAACACCTCAAAGGGATGCTGGAGGACAACAACTGTGTGAAAAAGATTAGTCCTCAAGACCTTTAACAAGGGTCTTGTAGAAAGTTAGCCTGGCATTAACTTGTACTTGACCACTTGCTAGTATCACTAGGTGTTTGCTCAGCGCTTGGTAAGATTTCAGCCAAACAGTTGATTTGGACTGATGTTGGGTCCTTACTGGATTTGTCCAGTGTTGGTCAGAGTGCATTGTGCTTGTTCTGTTGGCTGTCTTGATCATGGGTAGCAACACTTACTAATAGCTAGGAAGAGGCTGGTATAAATTCACACATTGAAAGTTCAAAGCATCTCAGTGAATCAGAAACACTCCGGTCACAGAAAAATTACTAGGGCCCTCGATGCAATGATATCCTCAAAATAAGCTACTGTGTCTGAAAAGCTTTCCAAACATACCTGATCATTTCCAGGAGGAATAAGTCAGTTACATGGTTCCCATTTTGGAGGGGCAGCACAAATATACAGTGCATTGACAAAGCAGTTTCCTTACTGAGGAGCTTCTTCGGCTCAGAGTCAGCAACATCACTGGGAATAGCCACTGAATTTCTGGACTGCAGCATACATGCTTGGAGATGTGCTATTTCACCCCATCAGCCTTTATTTTCCAATGCTGATACCTGAGTTTCCACCTTTCTATCTGCCAGCTGATGCAGGTATCAGAAAGCCAAGAAAGTCTGTGGGGGCAAATGACTGCAACAAGGTATTGGGTACCAGTACAGCATCAGTCCTTTTGCCCTTTACCCAGCTTTGGAATATGTTGAGCCCATGACTGTGTGGTTAAATTAGGAGCATCTGTGGTGTTGTGCTCCTGACCACTGCTCTGGAGAGTCTATGTGAGG